GGGAGGCGGTGGAAGACAGGAGGGCCTGATGTGCTCTGGTCCATGGGGTCACGAAGAGTTGGAGACGACTTAAAGACTAAACAACAACAACAAATGTACATTAAATGAATTTTTTTGCCTCTAATGTCAGATAAGCTGTCCAAGAACGGTTAAATATTGTACACTATTGTTTTAACATAAAATTTGGAAGAATCCTGCAGTAGCTTGAGGACCAACCCATTTATTCAAGCATAAGCTCTCCTGGGTTGTAATCCACTTCACCAGATGCGTAAACTGTTATCCTTGTGAGTTTATGCATGTATTAGTGCAGATAATAATGATGTGAACAATGGGATCTGTTGTTTTGGTGTCTGTATGCAGAAGATACTGGAAGTTTTGTACTGATATTTTTTTACACAGGTTTTTCATAACCCTGTGTTCTAGGGGGTCCCCCATCAGCAGCTGCCTTCTCAGTACCAGAAAATCTTGGAGCGGTTGAAGGCACTAGAAAAGGAAATCTCTGGAGGAGCCATGGCCATTGTGGCCGTCATTCTTAACAACAAGCTGTACATCGCAAATGTAGGTGTGTTCCTCTTCGGTGCTGTTTTGAAGAAGTGTGGCCTAGAGAATGGGGTTGCTTCATTCTCTGAGGTAAAAGCTTCAGCGACTTCTTACAGGTCCATTGAAATTAATTACAATGCTCTGCTTAATATGGCACAGTGTGGAAGAGATGGGACTTGATACTCCCGAATGTGGCTTCAAGGTTTTGCTGCAGGAGTAGCAGAGGATGGCTTTGAGGATGTAAGATTGTTTTCCAGGCACCTTACTTGGCCCTCTTTTGTTCTCCCCCCACCACCACATTCTTTGCAGGCACCAACCGTGCGCTCTTGTGCAAATCGACCGTAGATGGATTGCAAGTGACGCAGCTCAACAACGATCACACTGCAGAGAACGAGGATGAGCTGTTCCGCTTTTCTCAGCTGGGTGAGCATTGTCCTTGGGCACAGCAGTGCTATAAGCGGAAAAATAGATTGGTGAGCCAAGAAAGAAAGGGTTGCCAGAGCGTCTGCTATGGTTTTGTGGTTGACAATGTTATGCTAAAAGGGGGGCAGATTAACAAATGACAATGTAGAAGGTTAGAGGGTCAAATATCTGAACATTAGAAATGACCAATAATTAAATGAAGGGAATTTCTTGCCACTACTGTTAGAAAATATACTTTGTTATTTATTTACTACTATGTCTAGTTGTTCAAGATGAATACGTATTAGAAATGTATAATCAAAAACATTCAGATGTCTTTGTGTGTGTGTTAATGTGTGTGTGCTGAGAAAATATACTCACAAAGAATATAGTAATAATCATGTGCTAACAAGTCAGTTCTGACTTACGATGAACCCTTGCAGGGTTTTGTGCGTGGACAATACTCAGAAGTGACTTACTATTCCCTTCTTCTGGGGTTGCCATGGAACTGTGCAGCTTGCCCAAGACCTCACAAGCTGGCTTTACTCACAGGAAGCACAGTGTGAAACTGAACTCCTAACCACATACCTAAACCACTGAGCTATTCAGCCAGCTATCCAGTCACAAAGAAATCTTCTGGTTATCTCTGGACTATCTCAATTAAGAAGCCCTGCATTGTTTCTAAATATATCTGGGCTCTGGCTTTTACCAACCTCTGGAAGAGCCTCTCTGCATACATTCACAGCTCTGATAACACCCAGACAGTTCTATAGAAAAGCCTTTTTACTGAGATTGCAAAAGAATGAACAATTAATGGTTTTCCAGATGTTGCTGGATTGCTGTTCCCATCAGCTATCACCACTGGCTGTGGTGTCTGGGGCTGATGGAGCTGCAGTCTAGTAAGATCAAGAGGGCCACAAGTTAGCTATCTCTGGGATAAAGAGAAGGGAGCAAGAAGATGATGGCCTGAATCCTGTTGGTTATCCCAGCTAAAGTGGATGCACTGAATCCCTGGGGTTTCATGATGTTGGCTTCCCCTCTCAGCAACTGAGTTAGCATTGGTTTTATCCTATTGCCTTCAAATCTGTAAGCAGACATTTTTTTCTGCCCAGTTTCACCTGAGCACTGTCTCTTTAGAAATTGAAATGCATGCCATGCTTTAAGGGCAGCCTGTGGCAACAGATTATTTCTTTCTTCTCTCAGTATCAATATCCATTTGTTTGTCCTACACAGGCTTCCTTATTTCACAAGCTTGAAGAGGTGGGAGCAAGCACGAGCTGCCTGGGAATCTCACTTCATGTACCTAAGTTTCATGCCCGGCAACTTTAAGCATGCACCAGAAGTTAAATTCCTTTCCTTCTTGTTTCCCTGACATAGTTAAGTTAGCATTTGACAAAGAGCACCCACATTCCAATAAAGCAAAGTGTGCTGCATACATACTGCCCAATAGCGCATAAAGCAGTTTCTGGGTGGTTTTACAATACGTATAAATATGCAGCCTACAAATTCCCTCCCAAAGTGTGCTGCATACATACTGCCCAATAGTGCATAAAGCAGTTTCTGGGTGTTTTTACAATATAAATATGCAGCCTACAAATTCCCCCCTACCACTGAACAAACTGGGTTATTCAGTTTACCAACTTCAGAAGGATGGAAGGCTGAGTCAACTTTGAACTTGCTGCCTGAGCTGATTGGGATGGAATTCAGATCATGAGCAGAGTCTTGGCTACAGTACTGCAGTTTAACCATTGTGCTGTGAGGCTCTTAAAGAGCCTTCATTTAGTACCAAAGTTTAACCACTGTGCTATGAAGCTCTTAAAGAGCCTTCATTTAGTGCCAGATGTGGTTGATGAGCCAAGTTGTGCAAACTGGTACTCTGGAAGCCTTGTTTTCAGCTACTAAAAGAAGCATCGGGAGGCTGCTGAGTTGTACTGGCCTATCATGATATCAGCCATGTTGACTGAAGTTGGTTAGATTGTTGTAAATTTCAGCCACATTCTGTTCTTGCTAGAGAAGCAGCAGAAAACATGAATTGCCTTGTTCAAAGTGAGACTTACAACTTGAATTTTTTGAGGGGGGGAGGAAGAGGATGATGATTGGAATATGGCATGAATGATGCCTCACCATGTAGTTCGGCTTTTGGATATAGTCCTTGTTTATGCCAGAATCAAGCACATGGGAATTCTCAGACTGGATTTAGATTTTGAGGTCATTACAATAATTCATTTAAAAAACTGTTTCCAGAATGGATTTTTAGACATTCTATTTTCTTCCATGGAGATGTGAAATTAGCTTACTTTTAAACCCTTTGGCCCCAACATTCTCCTTTCAATTCACTACGAGCCACCTGGCTGCTTAACCGCTAAGTTTAAATGAATCTCCATACAGAATTTCATCCCAATTTAAAGATTGAGGGCAAAAATCCGTATTAATTGTTGGAATGCTCTCGGTGGAGAACTGTGCTGGGTAGAAATTCAGACACTGATTTTCAGCCCTGGAAACCAAAGCATAACACATGAGTTGTGTTTGTTTTGAAAATCACAGTTCTGTGCACACTGGGTTTGGAGGTGATCAGTTTAATTTATCAGTCATGAAACTAACTGGCTAATGTCAGGCAAATCATTGCGTCTGTATTGAAGCTGCATTTCAGGTTAAGATTAGTTAGGGCACCATAAAACAGGGATGAAACACGATCGGGCTATGTTACACTAACTCACAGTTTTCGGGTTTGTCTAAAGAAAGGAATACACATTTTAAAAAAAAAATAATGAAAACCAAGCATTTGGTTGCCCAGCATTGGTTAATTCTGCCCTGTGACAGTGAATGAGATGTAGATTATGAAGGCCTGTGTCATAGATAATGGGGGGGGGGGAATTCAATAGGGAGGAAGCCTGAAATACAGACTGACTGAGATGAAAAGCTCCATTCCATTTCAGGCTGGGGCCAACTCTCTCCAAATGCCCCTCTGTCTTCCATTGCAGGTTGACGTAGGGACCAACCTCTATTTCTAGGCAGTCCTCCCTGCTAAGCAAAACTCCTGTCCTTGGAAGCATGATGGTGATCCTCCTCCTGTTTCCTATTTGGGATTGTTTTGTTTTTCTTGGCTTGGGAAGCTGAGAGTATTGTAAGGAGAAAGGTAGTGGCATTTTACCTGTTTGATTTGTTTGAGCTTACCTGCTTGATTTGTTTGAGCTTTCTTTAGAGGGGGGAAAACCTTGATGGTTTTTGGAAGCATTTTCTAGGAAACCTGCCCTGAGAAGCCTCTTTGAGGAAAGCCAAGGGAAGTTCACCCATTGGGCAACAGCTGTTCCCAGGAGGGCAGTCTTCTGGTTCATGCTGGAATTGATTGGTTTGAAGTCTGAGAGTTCTTTGGCCATCCATTTCCCTGGTCAGAGTATGTGCTTTGCGGAAAACTCTGTTGTCTGTTTTGGATTTTGTGACAAATGTCACTTAAGAGACACAAGAACTCTTCTTTTATAAGACAGTGACTATCTTAAGATGACGTAGTAGGAGACAGTTGTGGAAGTTTGTAAATGAACACATTTACTTATTATTTATTAATTAAATTTATACCCCGCCCATCTAGACTGAAGTCTACTCTGGGCAGCTGTTTGTGATCTATGTCAGCTGTCCCTTACCTGCTGCCTTGCAGATGTGTTTGACCACAGCACCCATTGTCACGAGCTAGCAGGTTTGGAATGATGAGTGTTGCATTACAACAGATCTTGAGATTGCCAGGTTGGAGGACATTATCCTCAGCTGGCAGTTGAACATGCAGGAACATCAATTGTACCACCATACAGATGTCCCTACATGTGTGCCATGCAGAAATAGGTGTAAAATAATTTCCAGATATAATCTCCTTCCCAATTGATACAGCATGTCACACATCTGATGAAGTAGACTTCTCTCTGGGAAATCTCCTGCCAAACAGCAAATCAGAAGAGTCTTTGTGGACTAACTAAACCAGCTGTTTCCAACAGCAGGAAATTGAAGTAATCATCATTCATTTGTATCCACTTTTTCTGTTAGTAGCACTCAAAGTGGTTGACAGTATATTAGCTGAAATTCACTAATAAGCTGCAAATACAGCAGGCCTATTGAATCAATTGAATTTACGCTGTAGTTGACTTGCCAAATCCCTAGTGTTTCCGTGGGAACCAACAGCGGGAAATTGAAGTCATCATCATTCATTTCTATCCACTTTTTCTGTTAGTAGCACTCAAAGTGGTTGACAGTATATTAGCTGAAATTCACTAATAAGTTGTACATACAGCAGGCCTATTGAATCAGTGGAATTTACGCTGCATTTGACTTGCCAAAGCCCTAGTGGGCATACTCAAGTTTTGACTTACTACTGGCTTTCAGTCATTAATTAACAACAAGTATACAGTGGACCCTCAACCTATGAAATTAATCCGTATTGGAACGGTGGACGCAGGTCAAAAAGTCCTCAACCCAAGGGTCCATTTCCCATAGGAATGCATTGAAAACCCTGTAATCCGTAACTGGCCCAAGAAACTCCCTCCCCACAAAAAATTAAAATAAAGACACCTTACCTGTCCGAAGCCTTCCAGGGGTCCCCCGCCGCCGCCATTGCCACTGCTTGATGCCTCCGAGGGCTTCCCCGCCACTGCCGGAGGCCTCTCGGAGGTCCCCCCCCCCACTGCCGACACAGGCCTTCCCAGGGGGGACCAGGCCTATCAGGGGAGGGCTTTCCCCGGTAGGCCTGGTCTACTTCCCAGGAAAGCCTGGTAGACCAGGCCTACCAGAGAAGGGGTTTCCCCAGTAGGCCCTGTCTACTCCCCAGGCTTTCCCAGGGAGTAGACCGGGCCTACTGGGGGAAGCCCTCCCCTGGTAGGCCCGGTCCACCCTGGGAAAGCCTGCGTCGGCAGTGGGGGGAGGCCGAGAAGCCCTGGAAGGCATCCGGAGGCAGAATTGGTGGCCTAAGGACTGGAAGGGGGAGGAGGGGAAAGCACCTCCCCCTTCTGGTCTGTAGGTCGATTCTGTGACCGCAAGTCGATGGGAAATCTTGTAGCCGGAGAAGTCCGTACCTCGAAAAGTACGCACGTTGAGCCATATGTATGTTGAGGGTCCACTGTATAATTATAGGTAACTTAACACGGCAATGTAGGTCCCTCCACCATTTGTCTACGTGTGGTCATAGGCAACCACACCTTTAAGGTCTGACATGCTTCTTTTCAGCTTTCTGCCATGTCTCCTCTCCCAATCCTTTTCCTGGCTCTCACGAAGAGAGTATATAGGGCAGGCACACCAGATGGAGAACATTTAGCCGTTTGTGTCAGTGTCATCTCACTTCCAGTACTATCTTCAGTCAACAGCTTTTGCAGGCTGTTGGGTGGTTGGGTGGGGCAAGCCAGGGGAAAAACAGAAGCTCCGTCTCAGATATCCCCAGTTGCAGCAAAGCATTGCCAAGGCAAAGAAGGAATGGCTTTAATATGTTTGTGTACCTTTTTTCTTGTGAACAATTACAGGTGAAAAGCAGTTCAAGCTATGTTCCCGATTCACCAGCTTCTTTTCTCTATTGACAAGTCTGTTTAGCCAGATTTTCCCCCTTTTCGAATGCAGATCAAGGGGCATCTAAGCACATGCACCAGAGTAAGAGAGATGGTTCTTTTCTGACAGGTTTGGATGCAGCAAAAATAAAGCAAGTGGGAGCAATATGTGGGCAGGAGAGCACTCGGCGCATTGGGGATTATAAGGTCAAGTACAGCTACAGCGACATCGAACTTCTGAGGTGAGAGAAGGCCCCATATGGCTCATCTTTCTTAGCCAGCCCTTCTTTTGAGGGCGAAGGTCCTTTTCACTTGCTCTGCCTGGCATTAACTCCACTTTCTCCTTTCAAGTGCTGCAAAATCTAAGCCAATTATAGCGGAACCTGAAATCCACAGAGGGCTCTCGCTGGATGGCGTCACAGGCTTTCTTGTTCTGATGTCCGAAGGGCTCTACAGAGCTCTGGAAGCAGCTCATGGCCCTGGGCAAGCCAATCAGGTAGGAGCTGCTGGGCAAGTTCATATAGCCCAGCATGGCCTGGATTTCTTCACATCAATTGTATCTCCCTATTATGCTTAGATATTTAGACCGATCAAAGCTGCAGTTTGCCCTGAAGCGTTTTGAGTTCTCAGTGCTCATAATCATCACTGGGTAATTCTGTGGCTACAGAAGAAAGCCATTTTATAAGAGCTGCGTGTTCATAAAATCTGGACTGCCTGAGAAGGAAGGGAAGACATTTTCCCGAGGGCCTGCCTCTTCAGAGAAGCTATAGTGTTGTTCTGGAGGAATTGTTTCATCGCTCCGTCACTCTCCGTGCTTCCACTAGAGGCAAAACAGGGTAGTTTTTGATCTGTCGGATCAGATTCTGAGAGTGTCTTTTGCCACAGAGAACAGTGGAGTCCTCTCCATTTCTAGCAGAGCAGGGAGTAGGCAAGAGAAATTACATTTTTTATAAATTCTGTATTTTTCAATACAATTTTAAAGAAAACCTGAACGGACAGGATGCCAGCTACTATAAGTTTCCCATTTCTTTCTCCTGTAGAAGAAATAGTGATGCTTACAGAGGCCTGGGGATGGTTTGCTTGTTTATAGAGTTGCTTTCTCCACTTCAGCACAATGGTTCTTTCTAGCAACCTGATAAAGGCATATCTGGTTGCTTCCTGCACCTTCCCTTCTAGCTCTTACTATTGATGTAAAGCATTTTTATCCTATTTCTCAGTCAAAAAGGTTCTTGGAGTCATTACATACAGGGTATATGTCATGCAGGCTTATAGTCTGAAACAACGGAAAACGAAAAAATGGATGGGGAGGGAGGGAGGGAGGCAGGCAGGCAGGCAAGAGGACCTTCAGCAGGGTTGGTGCAGAGACCTGTTCTCCGTCTCATCCCTCTGTTGCAGTCTTCCATGGGTTACTGCGGTGCCCTTCAGATGTTCTTCCAGCTGCTTAGGAGTGGCTCCTCCGGGAACAGCTTCTACCTAGCCGTGATAACATTGAAAGGCCTGTATAGGCAGAGCCTGATTGTGTATTGCTTTCCCACAGGATCACTCAGTGCATGCGTACTTCTGGTAGGGTGCCAGTTCCATGGTCATTAAACATGATGGCCCGTTGAATTCCCTCCAAGCAGGTGCAAGAACACCTGAAAGGTGCAGCTGTCCCCACAACCTTTCCTGAATTCTTCCCTTTCCAGGAGATTGCAGCCATGATTGCCACAGAGTTTGCAAAACAAACCTCCCTGGATGCCGTGGCTCAAGCAGTCGTGGATCGAGTGAAACGCATTCACTGTGACACTTATGCCAGCGGTGGCGAAAGGTCCAAGTTCTGTTCTCGGCATGAGGACATGACACTGCTGGTGAGGAATTTTGGATACCCACTGGGCGAGATGAGCCAGCCCACACTGACCCCAACACAAGGTATGGGGTGGGGAGGAAAATGTGGGTAAAGGGGAGACGAGAGAGATATATGAAAACTCTCCATCTAACTTGTAAAGGGGAGGCTCTCGTCACAAAGATTACAATGGCAATATTGGCCTCACTCTTCTGTGAAACTTAGTCCTCGGGTACAGTGATGCAGAGGTCAGATGGATGTCCTAAAGAGGATTGAGGAACCTTTGACCCTACAGGTGTCTTGGACTTCACTTGGAAGAAGCCTTACCTATTCTTGCCAGTGGTAATGGATTATGGGAGTTCTAGTTCAAAACATTTGGAGAGGCATGAATTCCCCAACCCTCTCCTAGTGTGGATTGTGTAAGCTATCCATCAATGGATTTCAGAACCATGGCTGGCATTGGTGTGCCAGATAGCTCCTGCCAGTTACAGAATGCCAGGTATATTGTGGGGAGGGAGGAGGGTTTGAGCCCTTTCCTCCATTCTCTGCTGTGAGTTGTTTTTACTCTGCATCTTCAGGTGGCCGTGTTTATCCTGTGTCAGTGCCATACTCCAGTGCACAGAGCACAAGCAAGACCAGTGTAACCTTGTCCCTTGTCATGCCTTCCCAAGGTCAGATGGTGAATGGTGCCCACAGTAGCGCCACACTGGATGAAGCCACACCCACCCTCACTAAGTAAGTGTCTCTTGCTCAGACTCTGTGCCATCTCACCCTTGCTTGCTTTTCTAGTTAAACATTTGGAATCAACAATTCCGTTTATCTGTAGGTGCACCTTAATGCTAAATACGGCAGTCCTTCCAGTTTGCAGCATTAGTTTCATGTTTGGAACCATTTCCAAAATGTTATGGTGTAGTTGCCATGTTATGTTTCAATTTGTTATCTAAGTCTAATTATCACCTATGTAATTCCATGCCATTGCAGCTGTTTCTGATTGGTGTTATTCTTATTTATAGTTTCTGAAATCCTGTAATTGACTCTAGAGTAAGCCCATTGAATCAGTGGGGGCTTGATGAATCAGCTCCTCTATAAATTCCACTGATTCAAATGGACCTACTGTAATTGCAACTTACTTTAGTGTAGTAAATCACAATGAGAGTAGGCTCATTTGAATCAATGAAACCTACAGAGGAGTTGACCCACCAAACGCCACTGATTCAACAGGCCTACACAAGTGTGGTTTAGTACACTAAGTAACAAAATTTCAGCCATTAATTCCAGATTGGTGAGACATTTTGGTTTCTGACAGGCTGTTCAGATAAACAATGTACAGTATTAGAGGTTAAACCATCTGGGAGTTTATCCAGTATAAACCAGAAAACACATGATATAAACTAAAATCATACTGGTTAGAAACAGCTATAATGACATGAAACTGTTCTGGTGATAATTAGATTTAGGTTACAGTTTCAAACATAAAATGCCACCAAGTGGGTAGCACACTCTCCAGTTCACAAGGCGTAGCTATCTGCCCACCTTAAATTTGGCACACACACCCTTACCCATATGCGAGGCTGGCTAGAGCATTTGGGACTTGGAGTCTAAAACATCTGGCGGTCCAAATATTTCCTATTCTAATCTGAGAGGATCCGCATATGATGAAGCTGCTGTTTCAAAGGGAACCATTCAAAATACTGGTTTTGGGGCTACATTGCCTAGAATCCTCTACTGGCCATGTTAACGCCTGGGAGATGTAGTCCCGGTCTGGTTCAAAACATAGTAATCTTAGTAACCTTAGCACTGCAGAGCTGGAAGGGACCCAATAGATGATCAAATCATGGAGGCACAGTAGGGGAATGCAGAGCTGGAAGGGACCCAATGGATGATCACATCATGGAGGCACAGTAGGGGAATCAAACTCCCAACCTGTGGCTCCACAGCCAGATACATAAACCACTGAGCTATCCAGCAGTTTTGAGCATCAGTTTCCCAAGGCCCATCTACCCCTTGTGTCTCCATGCCTGTAAACTGTATTTACTATGTTATTTTTCCTTACTGAGTATGTTCCTTTCCCTTCTTTTCCTTTCTCCTCACATTTGCAGTCAGAGCCCAACGGTGACCCTCCAGTCTACCAACACTCACACCCAGAGTAGTAGCTCAAGCTCTGATGGGGGCCTCTTCCGTTCCCGCCCCTCTCACTCTCTCCAGCCAGATGAAGATGGCCGTGTTGAGCCCTATGTGGACTTTGCAGAGTTCTACCGCCTCTGGAACATGGACCACAGCGAGCAGGGGGCGCTCACTGTGTAATGCTGCAGAAAGATTAACTCCTGTGAATTCCCACCAGATGGAGAAATGGTGTCTAATAAAGCGGGAACAGTGTATCTGGCTGGCCACATTACACCATAAAGCATGCTCTTCTTTTAGGAATGGGACTAAGTTTTAGATTGGCTGCTGATAAACGATTTTTCTCATCAACCCGCCAAGCATGTTGACAATGGAACCTTGTGGGTACTAAGAGAGGGTTGTGAAGTCTTCCCCTATCTCTAGTATTACAGACAGTTGGTAGTCAGGGCTCTGTTACAGAGAAGACAACAGCATCAAGTGTCTGTCAAGAGATGTACATATGTTGTATGGTTATATATATGTGTGTGTGTCTGTGTGTATGCTGCTGTTTGAAATTTTGGTCCGGAAATACTGCGCCATGATACTGCTATGTTCACTCCTTGAAAGATACCTCTGTTTTGCAGAATAAACAGCCATGCTGGCTGGGGAATTCTTGGTGTTGTAGATCCAAAAATTTATTCTGCTAAGCTCTGCAATGGTATTGAAAGCCATAAAGGCCAAAGAATATAAGAACATAAAAAGAGTCCTGCTGGATCAGGTCAAAGGCCCATCTAGTCCAGCTTCCTGTATCTCAGTGGCCCCAAAAGATGCCTCTGGGAGACACGAGACACCTAGATACTTGTCTCCTGATACCCCTCCCCTGCATCTCACATTTTGAGGTACCTTCCTTTTAAACCTGGAGATTATACATCCCCATCATGGCTTGTGACCTGTGATGGACTTTTCCTCCAGGAAGCTGTCCAATCCCCTTTTAAGGGCATCTAGGCCAGATGCCATCACCACATCCTGTGGGAAGGAGTCCCACAGACTAACAATACGCTGGGTAAAGGAATATTTTCTTTTGTCTGTTCTCACTCTCCCAATACTCAGTTTGAGTGGATGTCCCTTGGTTCTGGTATTGCACAAGAAGGAAAAGAGTTTCCCTCTACCCACTTTATCCATCCCCTGCATCCTTTTATACATCTCAATCATGTCCCCCCTCAGGCGCCTTTACTCTAGACCAGTGGTTCTTAACCTTTGTTACTCGGATGTTTTTGAACTGCAACTCCCAGAAACCCCAGCCAGCACAGTTGGTGGTGAAGGCTTCTGGGAGTTGTAGTCCAAAACTCCTGAGTAACCCAAGGTTAAGAACCAGTGCTCTA